CCTTCAAGTAGCTGGAACTACGGGCTTTCACTACCATGCCCTGCTAAGTTTTTGATTTATTGTAGAGATGAGGTCTCCCAGGCTGGTCTCAAATCCATGGGGACTCAGGCAATCCTCTCACTTCAGCCTCCCAAAGTGCTGGGATTATAGACGTAAGCCACCATGCCTGGCCAAAATAAAAGATTTAAAACAGGCTTATACTAGTTAGAAAGGCTAGACTGCATAATTGTATTGACTCAATTCCATTGGCATGTCATGCATTTTATCTAAAAGGAATTTAAGGGAGGTGAAGTAGGTTTCTGTTTCTTTTGTTGTTGTTGTAGTCAGAGTCTCACTCTGCCACCAAGGCTAGAATGCTATGGCACGCTCATGGCCACCGCAGCCTCGACCTGCTGGGCTCAGATGATCCTTCCGTCTCAGCTTTGCAAGTAGCTGGAACTACAGGCTTGCACCACCATGCCCAACTAATTTTTTGATTTATTGTAGAGACGAGGTCTCACCAAATTGCCCAGGCTGGTCTCGAAGCCATAGGCTTGGGCAATCCTCTCACCTCGGTCTCCCAAAGTGCTGGGATTATGGTTGTGAGCCACTGCGTCCAGTTGGTTTGTTTCTGATGTCACATTTATGGCATGCCCTGACATAAATCCAAGATTTAACTGCAGGTTTGAAACTTATTAAAAATTTTTATTAAAAGCAGAAACCAAAAGTATCCTCCTTGAATCTTGATGCTTTGACTAAAAAAATTTCAGTGCTATCTTCAGTGCTGGTTCCAGCAGCCAACGCTATTGTATCTATGTTCTCCAACATACTTCTTAATAAACCTCTTAGCAAAGATTAGTCAAAACCAAAACCAAGTAGCTCATCATGCTTCCAGCCTTGCATAAACTTGTCATTCTGTCTAGGCACAAGGTAATCACACCGTATCAGAAGACAAAGTGACGGGACCAATGTTAAATATGACTTATGGGAAAGACTGATTATTTATGACTCCAAAAATTCCAGTTCCTTATAAATCACTTTGCCCTGATTGGAAGACATTTCCATTATTTTTCTCTAGTATTTAGATTTCAGTAAATTAAAGCTGTTGGTGCTGTTATGATTAGTAGTTGTGAGAAATATAAGGTAATAGAAAGAGCACTAGACTTGGAGCTACTCTGCTACTTCCTATATCGGTTAACAGTATATCCTTAAGCAAATCACTTAACATTTTAGGGATTCGATTTTATCAGCTGTAAAATGAAAGAAAAACCATCTCACGTACTTGTATAGAGAATTAAGTCACACAATGTATATTAACTTGTTTTAAAAATATTATTGATAGCCAGACGCAGTGCCTCATGCCTGTAATCCCAGCATGTTGTAGGGGGGCCAAAGCAAGAGGACTATCTGAGCCCAGGGGCTCAAGACCAACCTGGGAAACTTGGCAAAATGCCAAGTTCTCTACAATAAATCAAAAAATTAGCCAGGTGTGGTGGCATAGATCCAGCTTCATGGAAAGCTGAGGCAGAAGGATCACCTGAGACTCCAACTCAAAAAATAATAATATGATTATTATATTGATAAAATTATCATGTTTGGACAAATAAATTGATCAATCACAACTGCTGTTTCTTAGATTATTTTTAAAACTTCAAGTGCTAGGGCTGGGCTCAGTGGCTTGGTCTGTATTCCCAGCACTTTGGGAGGCCGAAGCAAGTGTACTGCCTGAGCCCATGGATTCAAGACCAACCCAGGCAACTTGGTGAGACCTCGTCTCTACAATAAATCAAAAATTAGGCCGGGCTCAGTGGCTCAGCCTGTAATCCCAGCGCTTTGGGAGGCCGAGGTGAGCGGAT